ATAGGGTAGGGTGCTATACACAGGAAGGCGGAAAGGTGGAGATCAGGTGAAAAGCACAGAACATATGCTGGCAGGTGGAGGCTGCTGCTATCAACAGGTAATGCATATCAAGGACATGCTATCAGTGAAAGGCCATTTCCAGGAGGAGAACAGATGGCAGGGGCTTTACACCTAAATGTCACAGGTAAATTTCAGGCTACATGTCAGCAGGAAGGAACAAATGAATGTGTCACAGCAGAAAAATACAGAAATGCAAACAATAGGAAAGACTGTAAAACAAATCTTGTAAAGAACATACAAATGTAATAATAAATAGAATAAGCACAGAGTGTGAAATGGGGGAAATCATGGGGGACATTGAATAAAAATGGATGGGGAGGGGGGGTAATGGAAATATAATAAGGGGAGTGGAGAGTTCTGTGGCAAAATGGATGGCATGTGATGTACAGAAGTGGGGTGACCAGCAGAGATATTTGGATAAAGAATTACATTGGGTTGGGGACACAGTGACAGATGCTCTACAACAGTGGGGTGACTAATAGTGATATATGGATAAAGTGTAACATAGATCGGTGTTGAGGGCACACTGAGGGGTGATGTACAGGAGTGGGGTGACTAATAGTGATCTCTGGATAAAGTATGACATAGATCGGGGTTGGGGAGACACAGTGACGGGTGTATAGGAGTGGGGTGACCCGCAGAGACGTTAGGGGCAAGTATGACATAGATCGGGGTTGGGGACACAGTGACGGGTGTATAGGAGTGGGGTGACCCGCAGAGACGTTAGGGGCAAGTATGACATAGATCGGGGTTGGGGACACAGTGACGGGTGTATAGGAGTGGGGTGACTTGCAGAGACATTTGGGGTAAGTATGACAGATCGGGGTTGGGGAAACACAGTGACGGGTGTATAGTAGTGGAGTGACCCGCAGAGCCGTTAGGATGTAAGTATGACATAGATCGGGGTTGGGGTCACACAGTGACGGATGTATAGGAGTGGAGTGACCCGCAGAGCCGTTAGGGGTAAGTATGACATAGATCGGGGTTGGGGTCACACAGTGACGGGTGTATAGGAGTGGAGTGACCCGCAGAGCCGTTAGGGGTAAGTATGACAGATCGGGGTTGGGGACACAGTGTCGGCTGTATAGGAGTGGGGTGAACCGCAGAGACGTTAGGGGTAAGTATGACATAGATCGGGGTTGGGGTCACACAGTGACGGATGTATAGGAGTGGAGTGACCCGCAGAGCCGTTAGGGGTAAGTATGACATAGATCGGGGTTGGGGTCACACAGTGACGGATGTATAGGAGTGGAGTGACCCGCAGAGCCGTTAGGGGTAAGTATGACATAGATCGGGGTTGGGGTCACACAGTGACGGATGTATAGGAGTGGAGTGACCCGCAGAGCCGTTAGGGGTAAGTATGACATAGATCGGGGTTGGGGTCACACAGTGACGGATGTATAGGAGTGGAGTGACCCGCAGAGCCGTTAGGGGTAAGTATGACATAGATCGGGGTTGGGGTCACACAGTGACGGATGTATAGGAGTGGAGTGACCCGCAGAGCCGTTAGGGGTAAGTATGACATAGATCGGGGTTGGGGTCACACAGTGACGGATGTATAGGAGTGGAGTGACCCGCAGAGCCGTTAGGGGTAAGTATGACATAGATCGGGGTTGGGGTCACACAGTGACGGATGTATAGGAGTGGAGTGACCCGCAGAGCCGTTAGGGGTAAGTATGACATAGATCGGGGTTGGGGTCACACAGTGACGGATGTATAGGAGTGGAGTGACCCGCAGAGCCGTTAGGGGTAAGTATGACATAGATCGGGGTTGGGGTCACACAGTGACGGATGTATAGGAGTGGAGTGACCCGCAGAGCCGTTAGGGGTAAGTATGACATAGATCGGGGTTGGGGTCACACAGTGACGGATGTATAGGAGTGGAGTGACCCGCAGAGCCGTTAGGGGTAAGTATGACATAGATCGGGGTTGGGGTCACACAGTGACGGATGTATAGGAGTGGAGTGACCCGCAGAGCCGTTAGGGGTAAGTATGACATAGATCGGGGTTGGGGTCACACAGTGACGGATGTATAGGAGTGGAGTGACCCGCAGAGCCGTTAGGGGTAAGTATGACATAGATCGGGGTTGGGGTCACACAGTGACGGATGTATAGGAGTGGAGTGACCCGCAGAGCCGTTAGGGGTAAGTATGACATAGATCGGGGTTGGGGTCACACAGTGACGGATGTATAGGAGTGGAGTGACCCGCAGAGCCGTTAGGGGTAAGTATGACATAGATCGGGGTTGGGGTCACACAGTGACGGATGTATAGGAGTGGAGTGACCCGCAGAGCCGTTAGGGGTAAGTATGACATAGATCGGGGTTGGGGTCACACAGTGACGGATGTATAGGAGTGGAGTGACCCGCAGAGCCGTTAGGGGTAAGTATGACATAGATCGGGGTTGGGGTCACACAGTGACGGATGTATAGGAGTGGAGTGACCCGCAGAGCCGTTAGGGGTAAGTATGACATAGATCGGGGTTGGGGTCACACAGTGACGGATGTATAGGAGTGGAGTGACCCGCAGAGCCGTTAGGGGTAAGTATGACATAGATCGGGGTTGGGGTCACACAGTGACGGATGTATAGGAGTGGAGTGACCCGCAGAGCCGTTAGGGGTAAGTATGACATAGATCGGGGTTGGGGTCACACAGTGACGGATGTATAGGAGTGGAGTGACCCGCAGAGCCGTTAGGGGTAAGTATGACATAGATCGGGGTTGGGGTCACACAGTGACGGATGTATAGGAGTGGAGTGACCCGCAGAGCCGTTAGGGGTAAGTATGACATAGATCGGGGTTGGGGTCACACAGTGACGGATGTATAGGAGTGGAGTGACCCGCAGAGCCGTTAGGGGTAAGTATGACATAGATCGGGGTTGGGGTCACACAGTGACGGATGTATAGGAGTGGAGTGACCCGCAGAGCCGTTAGGGGTAAGTATGACATAGATCGGGGTTGGGGTCACACAGTGACGGATGTATAGGAGTGGAGTGACCCGCAGAGCCGTTAGGGGTAAGTATGACATAGATCGGGGTTGGGGTCACACAGTGACGGATGTATAGGAGTGGAGTGACCCGCAGAGCCGTTAGGGGTAAGTATGACATAGATCGGGGTTGGGGTCACACAGTGACGGATGTATAGGAGTGGAGTGACCCGCAGAGCCGTTAGGGGTAAGTATGACATAGATCGGGGTTGGGGTCACACAGTGACGGATGTATAGGAGTGGAGTGACCCGCAGAGCCGTTAGGGGTAAGTATGACATAGATCGGGGTTGGGGTCACACAGTGACGGATGTATAGGAGTGGAGTGACCCGCAGAGCCGTTAGGGGTAAGTATGACATAGATCGGGGTTGGGGTCACACAGTGACGGATGTATAGGAGTGGAGTGACCCGCAGAGCCGTTAGGGGTAAGTATGACATAGATCGGGGTTGGGGTCACACAGTGACGGATGTATAGGAGTGGAGTGACCCGCAGAGCCGTTAGGGGTAAGTATGACATAGATCGGGGTTGGGGTCACACAGTGACGGATGTATAGGAGTGGAGTGACCCGCAGAGCCGTTAGGGGTAAGTATGACATAGATCGGGGTTGGGGTCACACAGTGACGGATGTATAGGAGTGGAGTGACCCGCAGAGCCGTTAGGGGTAAGTATGACATAGATCGGGGTTGGGGTCACACAGTGACGGATGTATAGGAGTGGAGTGACCCGCAGAGCCGTTAGGGGTAAGTATGACATAGATCGGGGTTGGGGTCACACAGTGACGGATGTATAGGAGTGGAGTGACCCGCAGAGCCGTTAGGGGTAAGTATGACATAGATCGGGGTTGGGGTCACACAGTGACGGATGTATAGGAGTGGAGTGACCCGCAGAGCCGTTAGGGGTAAGTATGACATAGATCGGGGTTGGGGTCACACAGTGACGGATGTATAGGAGTGGAGTGACCCGCAGAGCCGTTAGGGGTAAGTATGACATAGATCGGGGTTGGGGTCACACAGTGACGGATGTATAGGAGTGGAGTGACCCGCAGAGCCGTTAGGGGTAAGTATGACATAGATCGGGGTTGGGGTCACACAGTGACGGATGTATAGGAGTGGAGTGACCCGCAGAGCCGTTAGGGGTAAGTATGACATAGATCGGGGTTGGGGTCACACAGTGACGGATGTATAGGAGTGGAGTGACCCGCAGAGCCGTTAGGGGTAAGTATGACATAGATCGGGGTTGGGGTCACACAGTGACGGATGTATAGGAGTGGAGTGACCCGCAGAGCCGTTAGGGGTAAGTATGACATAGATCGGGGTTGGGGTCACACAGTGACGGATGTATAGGAGTGGAGTGACCCGCAGAGCCGTTAGGGGTAAGTATGACATAGATCGGGGTTGGGGTCACACAGTGACGGATGTATAGGAGTGGAGTGACCCGCAGAGCCGTTAGGGGTAAGTATGACATAGATCGGGGTTGGGGTCACACAGTGACGGATGTATAGGAGTGGAGTGACCCGCAGAGCCGTTAGGGGTAAGTATGACATAGATCGGGGTTGGGGTCACACAGTGACGGATGTATAGGAGTGGAGTGACCCGCAGAGCCGTTAGGGGTAAGTATGACATAGATCGGGGTTGGGGTCACACAGTGACGGATGTATAGGAGTGGAGTGACCCGCAGAGCCGTTAGGGGTAAGTATGACATAGATCGGGGTTGGGGTCACACAGTGACGGATGTATAGGAGTGGAGTGACCCGCAGAGCCGTTAGGGGTAAGTATGACATAGATCGGGGTTGGGGGTCACACAGTGACGGGTGTATAGGAGTGGGGTGACCCGTAGAGACGTTAGGGGTAAGTATGACATAGATCGGGGTTGGGGACACAGTAAGGGGTGTACAGAAGTGGGGTGACCCGCAGAGACATTAGGGTTAAGTATGACAGATCGGGGTTGGTGAATTACCTGCGCCTTCTGAAAGTCCCGCAGGCAGCGGAGAGCCGAGTCGGTCAGCTTGAGATGGAAGAGGCTGAGCCGGGGGATCTTGCGAGGTTCGGTCCGGTAAGACAGTGTCCCACACAGCTCCTCTCCGGGCCGAGCCATGGCGAGCACTGGCAGGGCACCGTTGAGCGCAGCCCGAGAGAGGCGTGTTGGGAGGGGCGGGGCCTGGTCGCGAGAGGGCGGGGCTGTACATGACAGATGTGGCCGCTGTGATCTCACACGGGGATCGGGAATGTTATGGAGGTGAAAGGAACGGTAACATGACAACCTGCTCAGAGGGTGAGCCCTTCAAATCACAAGTTGTGTCCATGCATACTGTCATCGCAGGTTCCTGGCAGATCCCGGGGGTTACAGTACCTCCTCCTGGGTTGAAAGAGGGGAAGTATTACTTGTTACAATGTATTATGACAGTTCAGAATGTTACAGTGTATCCAAAACCAACACTTATATTTGTTTTGTGTTGAACAGAGCATTGGGGGGCTACAACCCCTGTCATATTATTATTGCTCTGTGTCCCATTCAAACTTGCGAAGCGCGACACACAATTATTCACCTTTTTGCACATTTGTTGCACATAGGACAGGACCCAGTCATTTCAATGTGCTGCCCCACACATCACAAACATGGCAGAGTGCATGCGCCTTTCAGTGCCTGGAGCTTCACCCATTTATTAGCTGCACATGAAAAACACATCTCATGGTTGGTGAGTTTGGGTTCTATGAACACTGAATGGCACCACAAGGAGAACAAGTCTTGTCTTTGTTTTGTGTTGAACAGAGTAGTGAGGGGTTAGAACCCCTGTCATATGATTATTATTGCTCTCACGCTGTGTCCCATGTAGCCCCCATATACACTGGCACCACAAGGACGACAAGCCTTTTCTGCAGGTTTGAAAAATAATGGGATTGTGCACAAATTCAGGCAGCACACAAGTGTGAATGGGGGGCCATGGGAAATTCACTCTCTTCCTTTGTCCCCATTTGAAGGTTTCCTCTCTATTCCTGTCCCGGTGACAATGCAAACATTGGGATTTTCCCTAATTTGAGTCTCCGTCACAATGGTCACCCAGAACAAATAGATAGAATCTCATTAATGGGGACATAGACCGCTGTACAAACCTGACTGAGGTTCTGACTTCATATCACGCTAAACTAAAATGTAAAAATCATTTTGGCTTTAGATACATTTAAAGGACAAATTCGTCTTGAAAGTACATATACTGCCAACATTTTCTTTCTTTAATAGATCAGGGGAAGGGTAACACGCCGTCAGGTTTTATCGATTTATATATTTGTTATCTGTGTGTGATTTGCCATCTGTAGCTTGTTCATGAGATTTCCCTGCACTTCCTGTCCTGTAGACACAACATGAAGTGAGAGCAAATCCCTCCTAACTAAGGCTAATCTCATAGATGGGTGTCACCGGAACAGATGTCCCCATTGGAAGAGTTTCCCTCTATTCTCGTTCTGGTGGCAACTCAGTTTTACACTGTCCTAAATTTCATAACAGAGGTTCTGACTCCTCCACACTCCATCTAAGACCAAAAAAAAGTTTTGCCTTTAGATATACCTTAACTCCCCCCCCCCCCCCCCCCATTCCCCGCCCTAGCCCACCACTTTCCTCCAATGATGACAGCGGCCGGCTTCCTGCAGTGTTTACATCCTGGCTGGCAACATCTGTGCAGTAATATCCCATAGACTTCAATGGGACTCACCTATGCTGTTGGTTCAACATCCTAGTCAAGTCTATGGGATGTTTCTGCCCTACATTTTGCTGGCTGGGATGTAAATAGTGTGGGAGGTCGCTAACAGGGGAGATAAGTAAGGACCTGGGTGGGAGTGGGGTTTCACTTTATGATAAATTAGGGTTTGGAGATGGGGGTAGAGGGTTTTATAGTTGAAGGTGGTGAACTTTTCCTTTAACTAGTGGACTGCACATAAAACATATACAGTATGAATACGTATTTTCCATTATTTACAAACAATATTATTCCATTATTTACAAACATTATTATTCCATTATTTACAAACATTATTATTCCATTATTTACAAACATTATTATTCCATTATTTACAGATGTTGGACAACATTTATAAACACCTAGCAAACATGGTATAGCTGGGAAAGGGTACAAGAGACCTACATCAGGGTACATGGTAAATATTGGCTATAGTTGCAGCAGTCTGTCCTACAGATCACATAACTGATATAGTTACATAGTTACATAGTTACATAGTATTTGAGGTTGAATAAAGACATACGTCCATCAAGTCCAACCTATTGCGTGTATGCATTTTTATGAGCTGGTGTGTGCGTGTATATGTGTCCATGTGTGATTTTCTCTTAGCAATACCTGTACCCCTGTATGTTATGGTCTCCGAGGAACTCATCCAGGAGTCTCTTGAACGATTCCACAGTCTTAGCTGAAATCACTTCCTGTGGCAGCGAGTTCCAGACCTTAACCACTCTAACTGTGAAGAACCCCTGCGCCCTGTGTGGTGAAATTTTTTTTCCACCAATTTTTGGTTGTGCCCTCTGGTCTTTGTTATGGAGCTGACCGTAAACAGTTTGTTACTAAGGTTGCTGTCACCCTTGAATAGTTTATACATGAAAATCATGTCCCCCCTTAATCTCCTAACCTCCAAAGAGAACATATTTAATTTTAACAACCTTGTTTCATAGTTCAGATCCTCGAACCCCTTGATGAGTTTGGTTGCCCTCTTCTGGACTTTTTCTAGCTCAAGGACATCTTTTCTGAGTATCGGTGACCAAAACTGGACCGCATACTCCAGATGCGGCCGAACCAGTGATCTATAAAGTGGCAAAATTATAGACTTGTCCCTGCAATACATGCCCTTCTTAATGCAAGACAGAACTCTTCTTGCTTTGTTTACAGCAGTCTGACACTGCGAGCTGTTATTCAATCTGCGGTCTGTAATGACCCCCAAATCCTTCTCCGTTTCCGACTTCCCTAGTGGCACACCCATAAGTGTATAATCCATTTGCTTATTGTTAACTCCAAGGTGCATTAACGTACATTTATCGACATTGAACTTCATCTGCCATACAGTTGCCCACTCCCCGATTAGAATAGGATAGTGAAAGTTTATCTTGCATCATGGCAACTGAGATTTTTATTTTCCTAGTTCAGAGTCAGGCTTGCTTGGTTATGCAGTGCAAAGGTTGGAGGACTGACCATACATTGGTGCTAATAAAAACATTCTGCATGTCTGAAAGGCAGTTATTGGCTTGAGAAAATCATACTGTCAACGTTATATAGAAGTAAATCTATAGTAATAAAAAAGTCAACATTGGCTTACATGAGTAGGTAGCATAGTGTGTGTG